CACACACACACACACACACACACACACACACACACGCACACACACACACTCCCGTTCTCGCCTTCCATATCTCACATCTTCTGCTCCTTCTTTCTTCTCTTCCTTCCTCAGACCATCTAACCTGCTTGACAGCCATGGTGGCAATGCCAGGCGGCCTTCTAGTGTTCCTGCTGCAAGTTGGTTTCCTCTTGCCCAAGTGAAGAGGAACCAATTTCTTCCTCTGCTGTTTCTCCCCCTGTCTGCCTTCCAGTGCCAGTCCACCAGAATCATTGTTGGAATGATTGTCTTCATGCTGTTTTTCATTCAGGCATCCGCAGACCGCTCATTTCGGAAGACGACACTGTTTTGGTCCTCCCAGATTTAATTTACCCACATGATAGCCGAGCGGATAGCCTGACCCTTTTTTTTTTTTTTTTTTTTTTTTTTTAAATAAAACCGGGCCCTGTGCCCAATAGCCGAGCGGATAGCCTGACCCATGTAACCCCATCCTCTTTTTTCGAAGAACAGAGGGGGGAGGCAGCCTGTAGTCACCCAATGCTGGTCCCAAATGAGAGCTGAGACAAACCTTTACCAAAATTGAATGTAGTGCCCGCCATCTCCGGATCCTGATTGAGGCTGGGCATTCCCAAATGAGGTGCATAAGTGTTTCCCTCTCTTCTATTCCCGCAGCGTACACAGTCGGGCCGAACCTCCATTCCCTTCTTTTTTTTTTTTTTTTTTTTTTTCCCCAAAACAACCCGATCGTCTGCTAGGGATGCTGGTAAAAGCAGACACCACTAGCAGCGTAGGGGAGGCTCCATCTATTGGTGGGGAGCAACACCTGCTGGAAATCGGGTCCAGCGTCCCTGTATTATACAATGAGTGAAGCAGAGGTAACCTGAATGTGGCTTGTTAGTATTCATGATGGACTGGGGTGTGAATAACCCAGCGCTTTATCAACACTTTTAGTTATTTAAGTACCATCTATCTTACCATTCATTGTCGTAGCCATATGCTGCTGTGTCTATGTAGTGTAGTGCCCACCTAGAGATTTCCTCCGAGTCTAGCAGTGCAGTATGAGTTGTCAATGTTGTTGACAGTCTAACACACATCTAAACACTGTGGGTGACTGTGCAGCTGTTGCAGTTGACAGTCCAATGATAGTAGGTGGCTGTGGTTGTTGTTGTGACAGGTGTGAGAATAGATGTAGGCTTGCTTATGTAGAAGGGAAGCCTAGAATCTGATGTAGCTGTGATTGTATACAGGGTGACAATGTGGTTAATTGTGTCCCTAGACATTAGACTGCAGGCGACAGGCCCACCTTGCTGTTCCTGTTGTTGCAGTTGTGCATGATTAGGTTAACTGTGATTGTGAATAGCAGTGCGCCGCAGGACCGTGAACATGTTTGGAGTGACACTTATTGTGCTTTCCTGCAGCCAACCTGCTTACCCACTGGAGCCTAGAAAAGACCAGCAGGTAAGCCAGCCACCCATTCCTCGAACCCCTCCCTTGGATTGCTGGATAATGCCCCGGATGGGCTGAAGCAGTGTACAGACATTGTCGAACCTGAACTTGTGGAGACCCTGTGACAGGCCCAACCAACCAACCATTCTCCCACCCCCGCCCTTCGTTGACTGGATGATCCACCAGAAGAGCCGAAGCTTGAGTGCAGTCTTTGTTGATCCTGACCAGGGGTCCATTCTTATGACAAGGGCTCTCCCTGCTCCATTAGCCTCTCCTTTGACGAACACCACTCTGTCTCCCAAGTAGCCCTGCTCCCACTCTCTCGCTGATGGCTTCCCTTTCATTTGAGCTCTGCCAATCCTCTTGGTGTGTCAGTTATCCTCGAACGGCGAAGGGAGGGGTGGGAAGGGGTGGTGTAAGGCGGGAGTTGTGAGCGTGGCGGTGGATGAAGTGGCGTGGTCGTGGGAACTCAGAGGGGAACAGGGCGGAAGCTCTGCCAATCCTCTTGGTGTGTCAGTTATCCTCGACCGGCGAAGGGAGGGGTGGGAAGGGGTAGTGTAAGGCGGGAGTTGTGAGCGTGGTGGTGGATGAAGTGGCGTGGTCGTGGTAACTCAGAGGGGAACAGGGCGGATGAGGGAGAGGGTGAGGGGTGAGGGGCTCATGGGGGGGCAGGAGGGGGTAGGAGGGGGTAGGAGGCCAGGAAGATTGGATCATCTAGAATTCAAGTGGGTATGAGGACGAAGTTCGTCGGTTGATAGTCCACTCGAAAGTGAGATTGCGGCAGGCGTTCCCATTGGCACTCAGTTGTTGGCCAAGGTTGCCACAACAGGGAGGCATTGTGGTCCAGGCTACACAGCCTGTTTCGTTTGTCAGTCCATGTTAGGATGAAGTTATCTGTCAGTTCCTTTCTTTTGGTTGCCTCAAGTTCCGTCTTTAGCATTTCCCGCAGTTCTTTGTGGGCTTGCTGAGACTTGGTTGTAGTGGTATCTATTATAGCCATTCGTGCCTGCATGAATCCGAACGTGTGTTGGTCCCTTTGGAATGAGCATCGCATCCTCCAGGCCTGCATGAGGACTGTCAGCCTGGTGTAGGAGAAAAGATTAGACATGAAAGGTGTCCATGCGTTTCCGATGTGGGAGAGGTCCCCTAAAAGTAGGGAGCGGGTGTCCCAGGGCAGATGCTCGTCCGTGAGGTAGTGCCAAGCAGCATTGGGCATTCGAGCAAACAGTGCTCGAGGGTAGCCCTCTTCCTGGGGTAGGAGCGGGTACAGTATGAGCATATAGGGAGAGTGTCCCCTTCTCCTCTAGGTCCGTCCTGGCAGTTAACCAATCCGGCGTCGGCAAGCATCTGTGAATGATCTGCCACTGTAAGGCTCTATGGTTTGTCGGTTTGATGTTCGCATAGGAGGACCATTTGAGGTCTTGAAGGTCCTGTCTTGTAAGAGGGGAGTCCCTCTCCCATCTCCTTAAAATGCTGTCCATGACCGGGACGTGCTTGCGGCCCATCCTATATCCCTTTTTGATGGTGTACTGCCAACAGGGCATGGGGTGTGATACCCGCTCTCTCCATTCCCATTCTGCTGGGTCAAAGGGCAATAGGAGAAGAGGGGTAGCTGGTTCATATAAGAATAGGCCATCCTTCGGATCTTCCACCACTCTCAGTCTAACAAGCAGGGGCATTTGGCAGGACTTGTCCAGGTCCTCACATCTCTGCAGTTTGGACCATCACTCTCCTAGGTTGTCTGGACAGTATGCTAGTAGATTGGCACCGGCTGCCGTCACCGTTTGTACTTTATAGACTATCATGGGAAGGGGCAGGGCGTCCACTGTTGTAACCCAATCGTGTTTGTTGATCGTTGGCCCTGCCTTGAGAGTGCATATCCAAGCAAGGCGAATCGCTTCTTGGATCTCCTGTAGGCCTCGGGCCATATTTCTGATCGGGCCCGTTCTGTTTTTGAGTGATTCGACTGTTGCCCAGTTTCCTGTTTGCGTGTCCCATAAGTCCCCAATTGTATAGATCCCCTTCTTTATCCAGTTCAGCCATTTAGATCTACCATGTAGGGAGAAGGGCAAGCCTGTGTGGTCCAGAATCTGCTGATGGCCAAACACAGGCTGACGCCAGATTTCTTCCCATCTGGTTGGAGTAGTTGTATGATGTGGCCCTCTATCCCTCCATAGCCTAATCATAGCTATCCAGAGAGGGTCGATCCTCAAATCTAGTTTTGCTCTGGCTGAGGGGGAATCATCTGTTTCGATTTTGGGGACAGTCGGGATGGACCAATGGCTGTTGGTTAACCACCTCAAGGGGTGTACCGGGTGCTGTGGGGGGGAGGGCGTCTCCGTTAACCATTTCGCTGTCGGGATGGCCGAGTGAGATAGTAGCCGTAGCCGTCCTGCGTATTTCAAGCTCCTGGGTAGCAGTTGGAGTTGTGGCCACAACTTCTTTATTGATACGATAGACAGCCGGGTTAGGAGCATGAGGGTCCAGGTTGCCCTGTTACTTATTAAATTTTCCTCAGTGATGTTGTCTGTGGGGTGTTGGGGCAGGGTCCCACTTACACGTATTACGAGATTCTAACCGTTGATCTGTGCTATCAACGGTCAATATCTCTTAATTCGTGTAAGTGGGACCTAGCCCCTGGATATCTCTCCCT